TTCCTTTAAAGATAAAATAAAAAAAAAAATGTAGAGGGGGTGAATTTTTAAAAAATCCTTAAAGGAAAAAAAAAAGCTGGAAGCGTCGTTGATCTCTCTCTCTGGGGAAAAAAATGATTCAGTCCCACTTTTTCTTTTTTTTTCAAATATACAAAATGTTTTCAAGACAAAAATGTTTGGTTTAAAAAAAAAAAAATTCAATAGGGAGAGAAAATAAAATAGAAAAATTGAGAAGTTCCTCCTCTCAATGCGCCAAAATTACCTGGTGGAATGAACTTGTGGTTGTCACCCTCTGGTCGCTCGCTTCATCTTTTAAGTAATCTACTAAAAAATGCCCCTGAAAGAAAAAAGCAGAAGGAACCTTTTAGGTTAAGACATTTAGGGCCTGGAAGAAGGTGCGTTTTTTTGTTTGTTTGAAGGAGGAATAGGGTAAGGAGGAAAAGAGGGGGGAAAATCTTTTTTTCTGTTTGTTTTTCTGGTGAAAAATAGATAACACATTTTCTGCAGTCTCATTCTCACAATCACAGTATCAAAAAGGATGTTTTTTTTGTGTGTCTGCTATCAAGGCGATAGTCTGTTTAAGCAATTTCTTATAAAATACTCTACGTTTCACTGAACATTCGTTTGCAGTCCATGGAGGGGGGCGGTGTTTCTGCACTCACATTGCCGACCTGAGAGTACACATCCTCCGGCGTCTGCGCCACTCCTGGCGGCGTCATCCTCTTTTCCTTCTGCCTCCTATTGCAGAACCAAACTCTCACCACCTCCTTCTCCAGCTGCAGGTTGTCCGCCAGGGTGCTGATCTCCTGCGCCGACGGTTTGGGGCACTTGAGGAAGTGGCTCTCCAGGGCCCCCTTGACGCTCACCTCGATGGAGGTGCGCTTCTTGCGCTTCCTGCCCTGCGCCGCGATCTTATCGATGCTGGTGGGGCTCCCCGTGGACGAGTCGGCCTCCTCCAGCCACTTGTTCAGCAGAGGCTTCAGCTTGCACATGTTTTTGAAGCTGAGCTGCAGCGCCTCGAACCTGCAGATGGTGGTTTGGGAGAAGACGTTCCCGTACAGGGTGCCCAGGGCGAGGCCCACGTCCGCCTGCGTGAAGCCCAGCTTGATCCGCCGCTGCTTGAACTGCTTGGCGAACTGCTCCAGGTCGTCCGACGTCGGCGTGTCGTCGTCCGAGTGCGGGTCGTGGCTGTTGACGGCGGCGTGGTGCTGGTGGTGCGCGTGCTGGTGATGGTGGTGATGGTGGTGCTCCAGATCTGGGGTGTCCCCCCTCACCAGGCCCGGGTGCACCAGGCTCTGGCTGCCGGGGCTCAGCATGCCGTTGACGGTGAACCCCCCCGGCTGCGAGTAGATGAGCGATTGCTGCTGCTGCTGCTGCCCCCCGGATATGGAGTTAATGTGCGCCGCCGTGGTGCTCCCCCACGCCCCGGCGTGAGTGTGGTGCGGGGGTAAATGGGGGGGTCTGTGGTGCAGCGCCGTGCCCGTGTGGAGATCGTCTCTGGCGGAGGTTTTCACGTCCTGCTGCTGCGGGCTGCCCGTCATCCCGACCGGGCTGGAGGACCAGGGGGAGCCGGCCTCTGCAGCGGCTACGGCGGCTGCAGCGGCGGCCGCAGCGGCGTGCGGCAGCGACGTCACCCACTGGTGCGCATGGCTCAGCATGTGCCCCCCGTTACTCGCTGCCATGGCGCCTTGCATAAAGTCACTCTGCACCATCTTGACCGTGGGGTCGCCCCTGTAACCCCCGGAGCCGGAGGTGACCGCGGCGCTGCCGGGCTGCATGCCGCCGCCCCCGGAGTCACTGTGCACGATGGAGCCGGACGATAAGATGCTATTGCTGGGTAGATAAGGATTGGAAGCGGCGGTGGCCATCCCGTCAACCCTTATGAATATGTTTGTGGATAACCCCCCTCCCTTTCTTTTTTTTTTTTTTTATATACAGTCACTTCTTTCCAGCAGGCAAATCGTATCTCATGAATTATTCAGCCTTTTTTTCTTCTTCTATAAAGTCTGAGCAGTTTCTTCTGCACTTTTTTGGGGTTTTCTTTGGAGAGGCTGTGCGTAAAGACGCAGAAAGAAAAGCGTCTGGAAAGAAAAATAAAAAAAAAGCCCAAATCCGTCTTTATTTACAACATTCTAGCCGAGGGATCTTCAGCGTGGACTGCGTGGAAAGATCCTCTGAAAGCCCTTTTGAAACCATGTGCAGTCCGTGGAGGGGGGGGAAAGTTTCGCGCAGAGATCGCGGACATTAAAAATTCAAATCAGAAGCGTCCCAGACAAACTTTGAGAAAGAAGAAAAACAAACAAACAAACCAAAAGCAAAAAAAAAAAAAAAAGGAAGCTTCTCCTCCTTTAAAAATATTCTCCCAGTTTCTTTTTTACGTCCAGCTTTCTTTTTTTTTGGATGTTGGTAAAACCGGAGCGTCCTCTCTTCTTTTGTAATTCAAGTCGCTTTTATTCTCTTCGCTCCTCTCTTTTATAGCACCGTCTCTTTGTTCTGTTTTGATGTGTATAAACCTGCCAAACCGCGAACTCCCGTTCAAGTACAATCCAGTCGGAACAGTGGCGCTGCGCTGCCTGCGAGCCTCTCCTCTCATTCGCTGCCTCTCTCTCCTCCTCCTCCCTCTCCCTCTCTCTCTCTCTTCCTCTCTCTCTTTTCTGACAGCCCCCCCTCCTCCTCTACCCCCCTCCCCATCCCAGCCCTCAGGACGCCGTGTTTACCCCGTGCGTGCCCATTGATTGGTTACCCGGGGCGTGATTGGCAGCTCTCCGAGGCGCGCGGAGAACCTCCTTCCGGCTGTTCCGATTGGCTGCTTTTTAATTGCAGGTCCAAACAAAAAAACGCTGAGCTCAACTTGGTAGTAAATAGTACCAGGGATGAGGAAGAGGAGCAAGTGTGTTTGATTTGATATGAAAAAAGGCAATACCTACCTCTGTCTATTGCTTTTTTTTTTTTTAAACTTAAACTTCTTTTATTGTCATTGCACAAAAAACACAAGATGAATCTTGACAACGAAATGTCAATTACTTGGCTAAGACCTTATTCCTGCACAACAAATATGTTTTCTATAGCTAAGAGCTAAGAGCTAGCTATATACAGGGTAAATAAGTATATATATACATTATTGCAAAAATAAAGATTAAAGACAAAACTAAACTAAGGTGCGTGTATTGTCCATGTCCATGTCCAACAAATGACTTAATTAAAGCCTTTTAATTCGGGCTATATGTAAAATGATCAAACATATGTGCAAAAATATACAGTTTACACTCAATTCTGGCGCATCAGGGGTTAAAGGTCAAAGGTGACTGAGGCCAACATGCAGCAGTGATGGAGAAGGAAAGTGGCAACCAAAATAGGGGCTCTTGTCTTTCTTCCTTAGTGTTTCTTGTTTTGCACAAAACGAGGACATTTATTTGACTGGTAAACGTCTGAATTTACACCTGTTGAAAATGTCTGAAAAAATTGTTTAGAATACTTATAGTGCAATAGGGTTGCTCTGTAATGTGCTTTAGAGAAACAGATAAAATTGTATAAAAAAAAACAGGGCTCTCACCCCAGAGATGCAGCTAAAGTTGACCACACACCAACTCATCCCCCAAGAAAATGATAAATAAGAGTTACATTTTTATTTAAACTAGTTGAAACAAACAGTTAACCCTTTAAATCAGGGTCTGGACACTTTTATGATTTAAGCAGGATGTTTAGCTGTTTGATGGAGGAGTGCATCACCGCATCTTAAAGCTGCCAGACCAGGGCAATAGATCCCTACCTTTTTTAGTTTCACTTTTCAAAGTTGTTTTTAACGACAATCCAGGGTTGATTTGTGAAATTAACAGTATTTTCTGAGTCTGTCATCAGGATCACATTCATGACTCATTTCCACTTTGAGTTCCCCTTATAAAGTAGTTCATAAATATGTTATCAACTCATCTGTAAACAGTTTAAAACTCATTTATTTTTATAATTCATTAATTAAGGGATGGGATAGAGACCAAACTGACCTCACTCACCTTATATCCAATGTTTCTGTGAAACACAGTGCTTTTCTATGATGCAAAACATGTTCAATACATAAAAACATTTATAGATTAGTTATTACATGTTTACAGACCCCCCCCCCTCAACAGTTTGTAAAGATATGCTAGAGTTTATTTTGCCTTAATTTAACCTAAAAGCACAGAAAAGGTGATTGATGCAGAGATGTATTTTCTTAATCTGATTCTCTCTTAATTTCTCCTCAAAATTTGTTTTTTCCCTTTTTTTTTTAAAACAGATTTGAACTTTATGGTTAAGATGCATGATAACTTTCTCCATGGGTGGTTCTAGACAGGGGCCAACAGGGGCCAGTAGCCCTGTAGGACTGGTATAAGTCGTATGGACCTATTTCCTTTATTTATTTTTATCTTTTTTTTATCTTAAGAGACTTAGATTTATTTTGTCATGATGATGATTAATTATCCAAACATAAAGTTGTTACATGTTTAGCTTCATCCATATTGAGACACTTTTCATCTGCCATATCTGCTGTTTCCAGAGCTATAAATCCCTTTTTGATTCACTTAATTTCCCTCCATTCTTATGTTCCATGCTCCAATTATTAAAAACCATGTCTGCTACCGGCTCAGTCTGTTTAGAAGGTACTAGAACCCACATGTTTTAATGGTGATGAAGTCATGGGGCCCATCTTTTCATACGCATTGAAGACTTCTTTCTTAATCAACCAGGATTATTAGAAACTTATCTGTTCATTTTCAACCAAACTGTTTTAGACTTTTAGAAAGAGACCATTTCTTTTTATTAAACACTTTTTTTTTAACCATCCAACTCAAATGTGCTTTGGTGGAATTGAAGTCGCTGAAGCAACTGGTGCCTTTTATCAATCTATTAAGATTTCTTTGTTATTACTTTTATAGACCTAAAACAGTGTTTTCCTTTCCCTAAACTATTATTTTTAGGTTTCATTTTGTAGATCAAAGGTCATAGCTACAACTCCTTCATCAAAACCTTCATTTTACAGTAATGATGCTTTCACAGAATGTCTGAAGTGGTGCAGAACAAACGTTTTAGCAAAAAAAACCCTTTTTTTTTAATAGAAATAATTGCTTTATAAATTCAGACACATCCACAATAAATAAATGTTGACTTTTTGGTTAGGGTGCCAAAATTGATAGGAAGGGTAGGTTGAAGTCACACCAACAATTACCAAAACGAGGGTGGATAAAAGTCAAGATTTGGTGCCAACTTAGGAAGTTACATAGAGGTTGTCAAGTTTTTTTTTTTTTTTCATGTGAATTGGAAAGTAAAATGTTCTGTTTGGTTAGCATTAGCATTAGCAGATCTGGCAACCGCCAGGAGAGCTGGCCAGCATTTCAGCAACTTACTGGTCATGAGGAGTTAAACTTTTTAGCTGTCATCTTGAAGGTCTTCAGTCCACATGGGTCCCATCCTACATTTATTTAGATATGATGAGTATAAATCCTAAAAATTACCCCCAAAATGTATCTGAAACAAACCTCATGAGGCCCTCAATATTCATACCTTTGGCATTCTGTCCACAAAATATGGGATTTGAGGAGTTAAGGCCTTTAGCCATATGGGGCCCCTTCAGCTATTCTTCCAAATCCATCGAGTGTGTTTATCTATATTAATGCTAAAATCTTAAACAAAATGGATTGAATGATGTTTAGTTGGAATAAACATTGTTACTTCTTTTTGTGTAAAACAAATTAATCATAAAGCTAAACAGGGTACCCCACTATGTTGTCCAATGTGCAAAAAGGTATCTTTACTATGTCTGTTAAATGAAAAAATGCTCAATGGATGGAAGACTGGAAGCTTAGAGGCTCCTATTTATACTTACAAAGAATAGTTCTGTCAAAAGTTGACTAAAATCAACTATTTAACAATTAAATTTTCTGTTAAGCTTATCAGTTTTGGTTAACTAAAGAAGAAGTAGTGAGGTTGAAGCCATAAAGGCTATAATGCTATGGGGCCCCTCTCTCTCCAAACCCATATGTAGTGAGGATGTCTTTAGATTAACTTTTAGATGTATTTTTACTTACCTTTTAATCCATATAAAATTTCTTGTGTCAGCTAGAGGTCCCCTTCCTTAGATTGACTCATGTGCGTCTTAATTAAGATGTCTTTCTGTGGTTAAAGTCATGTCGCTATGGGGCCCCTTATGTTTTGGTCAATATAGCAGAACGATATCATAAATCATTACAGAAAATACATGTTTTTCTATTTTGTTTCATTGTTTGCAGATTACATTGTGATAAAAAGTTACTCAGGGGAGCTTAAGGCAGTGTTTTCCATCTGCTATAACTGTTTTTAGGTCACATTTTGACATCTTTTCCACTTTTGAGAAACAGTTAAAGGCTTTCAATGACATGAAACAAACCTTTTGATCCATCAAATATAATATCTCAAAGAGGACTTAAGTAGATATACAGTAATATACAGGGCGATGATGTCTTTTAAAATGAGAGACCACTTCTTTTTAACATCTTTTCCCGCTTTTTTGTTTTATAAAAAGGTATGTCTTGTCCCAAGAACATCTTCAAGGCGATAAGAGTCATGCAACTATTAGGCTTCTAATGTATTTATTATAACAGAGACATTTCTGGCTACAATAACAAAAAAAAAAAAAAAAAAACAGACATAATCTTCTATTTTATTTCATAATTTGCCTTTTACGCATAATTTATTAGCAATTATGCAGATGATGTTGTCATAAGAAGCCACTCTTTTGTCTAAAGTGCTTTCAGGTCACATTTGGACATCTTTTTAGTATTTTATCAACAGTTAAAGGGGTTTATAAAAACTAAAACAAATGTTTCAATAAATCAGAGTTAATATACGTACAGTATTATAAAGGGAACCCTTGTTTTAAAATGAGGGAGGACTGCTTTGTAACATCTTTAACTCTTATAATGTTTAATAAAAGGTAATGTCTTTTTCCAGCAACATGTGCTGAAGGCGAATGAGGCCCCTCCTCTTTGCATTAATATACAGTGAGGATTTCTGACTAAATGTACAAGAGAAGCCCTGAAATCTCTTCAAAAGAAAAAAAAAATGTTTACCACATCCATAAAAGGCGAGTCAAAAGCCATTCTAGGAAATATTCCCCAGAAACGAGCGCGCACGCTCCTCTCTGATATATGATGTGTCTATTTATTATTTATTTGCTTATTACATATATAAAAAAAAAAGAAGGAAAAAAAAAAGGTCCCCAAGTTTCCTGCTGGGGGAGTTCATTTATTCTGTATGCAAAGGGTGGGGGGAGAGGGGAGAGAGCAGAGAGAAGGGGGGGAAAAATCATCCCCAAGTATAACAAGAGACGAACAGTTAGTGCTGATTTTCATTTGCATAAATTTTCATATATTTTAGTGAAAATAATAGCGGGAGCCGAGGAGCGCTCCTGCTCAGTCGAGGCAGAGGAAAGAAAATCTCAGGGAGCAGCGTGTCGCGGGGAAGGGAGATAACCATTTACACGCTCCGTGGGAACAAACTGAAGCTATTTCCTTCCTTCTTGGACACAAGGTAAGTCAACAATTATCTCTGCGGATTTCCCTTTTCTTCCCCTTCAGGTTTCTTTACGCATTTGACCATCTTTTACGCGAAACCTCCAACCTCTTTTTCTGCGCCATCCTGGAAGAATATACCCCTCTAACCCTTAATTAGTGGATTTTTTTAAAACCGATTCCATTTCTTTATTAAGATTTCCTTCTGGAAATCAGTGCGTCTTTTTTTTGCGCGAAAACGTTAGACGATGGAGGCGCTGCGCTGTTTTTGTCGTGAATGTCACCAAAGAAAAGTGCAATCAATCAGATTTTAAGCAAGGAAGAGAGGAGAGAGAGAGAGGGAGAGAGAAAGGAGGGAGACCCCATCGTCTGCATCGTTTAACGCAAATCGATCTGGCTGCTGCAAAGTTTGCATAAAAAGTTTATGCCGCAAAATTTACGCGCATCCATGCGCACAGAAAGGGAATAAGAACAGGAATGCTTCCCGTAAGAGCATCTGAACTTTTAAGGGGGAGTAAAGGAAGGGGGGGTCACTTCATCCACGGAGCTGCATATTTGAGCCTCGCGCCCCCGTCGCCATGGTGAGGCCAATAAAAGAGGGGAACACTGGCCGCATTAAGCTGTATGTTTGTGCACTGGGGTTGAGATGAAAAACGACTTGTGTGTGTGTGCGTGTTTCTTTTCACAGAATGAGTGAAAAAAAATAATTTTTATGTGTGTCCAACTCTGGTTAATAAAAATATAATCTTATATATCTCTATACAGGCTCAGAACCATTGATACTCTCTGTACGCGCCTGCAAAAAAAAAAAAAAAAAACTTTTTTTTATCCAAGTTTGTGCTTTATTTTATCTCCCTTGTTTAGGGCCTTTTAGTTATTATTTTTGCCAAATGATTCAGTCATTAAAATCCGCCAGGTGTCGCGCTCACTCGTGATGCAAATGTCATCCATTTCTACTGCAGCTTTTGCGCAAAAATGCCCCCTTTTACTTCTGAATATTTAAATTATTTCCAACACAAAATAGCAGTAGCATCTAGATAGAAACGATCAGCTCCTTATTTTCTATTTTCTTTCTACTTTAAAGAACGTTTTTTAATCGAATCACAATTATTAATCCCAGTTGTTGGTCAAAACTGCACGTGTTACATGTAGTCCTCCATGGATTAGTGACATTGATTGGATGCTTGATGAAGATTATGAGCTGCAAATTTAATAGTTGTGTTTTTATTTTATTATGATATAAAATGCATTTTTTGTGTGTATTACAGGCCTGTTTTTTTGTGTTTTTTTTTAGACCGGCCTCCACGTGCAGCAGCACACTTACTTTTTTTTTTTTTTTTTTTAACACACACATATGGCAGAAAAGCGACTTTGGGGAATTCTCCGCAAATGAAAGCTGCATAGATTCATCGCAAGAGTTTGCGCATTTTTGCAAGAGCATCAGAAAGCCTCTAACTTAAAAAAAAAAAAAAAAACACATCCCCCCCCCCCCTTTTTTTAAATACTGGTTTGTTGCAGCGAATTAAGAGGAAATCAATTAACGCCCATTAATCTATTGTCTCTCGCTCTCCATAAAAGCTGATTTTCGGCCGTAAATTTCAGACACTTCTGTGGCTTGCCGCCGCATATTCGCATTAAATCGATGCAATTCCCGTCGCTTTTTAATTATGGCACACTTAAAGTAGCCTGTGGGCTTCATAATTTATTTGCAGCCCCCCCATACCCCCCTGCCTTGCACGGTGCAGCTCGCTATAACCCGCCATACGTTGAGTGTGTCAGGCCCAAAACGCTGATTTAAAGCCGAACTAGCAGCACTTACATGATAATATATACCGTTAATTAAATGAGCTTCAAGCATGTCCTCACTTTTAGAATCCCCCCCACATTCAGACAGACTTTTCTTTATTATTAATATGCCTCACAGAGTCACACACACTGAGTAATTGCTCTACATGAACAGGTGATGAGATGTTTGGTGTTCATGAGTTCAACTTCCTGCACTGGTTGGGATTAAATTTAGTTTTTTTGCAAATCAGAATCCAACTTTTGCAGATATTTGCTCATTTCTAGCCAACAACATGCCTCTGGTGTAAATCTGGTTGGATTAGAGTTGTGAAAAATAAAAGAAAGTTGGGGGATTTAGAAGTAAACCTCTGATGCACCAACAGGGCCGTACAATAGATTTTAAAGAGGCAGGGGCTCGACACTTAAGAAGGAACCATACTGAGTGACAAGACAAACAAACAAAAAAAGAAACTAATCTAAAATTATGTTTTTTTTTATTTGTTTTTATTACAAAATATAAACATTTGTGGCTTACAGCCATACCGTCCTGATCAGGAAGCTAAGGAGGGTTGGGCCTTGTTTGTGTAAAAAAATTGAATGCAAATATTACAAAATTAAGAGAAAACTAAATATTTAATTAATTAAATAAATTATATAATTTTACCTAATTAATTAAATTATGTGATTTCAGATGAGCTGTAGCTTAAAATCCAACAAGTACCTTCAAATTACATTTATTTTGAATTAGCAATGTATGAGTTCACTCGATGAAAGTGAAATATTGAAATTGTCAACAAGTGAGGAGTGAGATATGGCGCTTTAATGAGCAGGTAAAAAATATTTCATATTTCAGGAAAGGACAGCATTTGATTGCTGATTTAGTGTGTAGAAATTAAAAGAAAAAAAGGAAGATTGATACATTAAATGCAATTCCACTTCTTTGTCAAAATGAACAAAAATATTGCTTCTTCATTACTAAGGACTGAACTACATGGTGGTCATGCTAAAGACTATCACAGATTACCTTGGGGGAGACATTTTTGTTGTATCTGATTAACATCTGCCCACTTGTTGTCTGAAGAACCATAAAAAATAAAAACCCTGCAACTTTATCTTTCAGGAGTCCCAAAGCATGATGCTGCCACTAAATTAGTAAAGTTGTCTTTGGCTGGAATCCACTATATTTTCACACCTTATTTCAAAATTCGCTTCTCCAAATCAGAGATTTCCAAATCATTGGGATGTGATTGCAGAGGTGCAAGGAGGGCCAAATTATGTTATGCAATAAATAAATATACAGTACCATAAGTGACATGTAACATTTATTTATTTATTTTTTTATTTATTTATCAAAAACAAGAATAATATTTAAACATACTATCCCAACTTAAAAAACATCCCGTTAGATAAATAAAAACAAATTTAAAAGGAATTAACTAATGTAATGTCGTTAAAAAAAACAGATGTACTTCAAAAATAATATAACTACTTTTCTTCATATTCATAAATACATATAATATGAAATAATTCTATGTATTTTAGAGGGTCCCCAGTCTGTTACATTGGTATTTTTGGTATCATATGCTGAAATGTTTGTGAACACCTGACCTGGAACGTCCATACTGCACTAGGCCCACAGCACCATGCTGCCACTAATATTTGCAGGTAGCTTTTAAAAGAAATGAAACTCTTTGCATCAAATTCTTGTTTTTAAATCATTATTTCAACACCTGAAACAACTCTGAGTCCCACAGCATGATGCTGCCTCTATATGCTGGAGATTTGAGATACTCTTTAGAAGGAAAAAAATTATTAAATAACTTTTGTAATTGAAGAAAATCACAACTCAGGCACATGTAGGTCCCTGTATCTGCACTTGATGCTCCCCAGTCCCACAGCATGACGCTACCACCATGCTAGACAATAGAAAGAGACTTATACATCTGCAGGTCGATACTTATAGCCGATATTAGCAGTTTGATTTTTCTTTCATTGGTATCACCTGATACGTGGTGGATTAATTAGTACTTTCAGATGCAAAGGAAGCGCATGCAATTCCCACTTCCTCTATTCTTAATATTTTGTTTGATTCATTTAGAGGTGTTTGTTTTTTATTTACATTTACACTTGTGTAAAATTGGCCTTTTTGTATTATTTTATTTTGTTAATAGAGGAAGAAAAAGAGATATTAGAAATCATCCTAACATCAAAATAATTGGTATAGACATTGAGCTGGAAAAAAATTATATATATATATTGCTTGATCTCTACAAGACAGAACAGAAATGTGAAGCTTGATTTACTGTTGAATGAGACGTTACTGAAAATATGATGCAATAGGAGAGGCATGCAAAGTCAAACAGCAACGGCAGACAAATCAATCCTAAAAAGAAAAGGAGGCCACTTCCACTGGCGTGGAAGTAAGTGACAGGCAACAGATCAGGGAAAGATAAAGTGAAGAGCAGCTTTCTGAGTCACAAGAGAAAGGTGTATGTGCTTCTTCCTTTGTCGCCTCCTCCAACCTTCCGGGAGTGACATCAGAACTACTCACACTTTGACTGTTTATGCAAATGGTCGAGATTTTCCTTTACTTTTTAAATGTCCTGTTTGCCTGCATCACAAACGCCTAATCGAAACTAATAATCCGTTTTAAGCAGAGTAATTAAGAAATAAAACAAATCCACCTGCAAATCAAATCTGCACTCATATAGTCTCTGCTGATTCGTTCTTGTTTTTGTTTGTTGAACAGTGGCGGTCCCTGAGGACAAAGAGAAAAGATGTGGGGTGGAATCTACCTACCCGGGATTACATTAATAAAAGTATTTATTTCCCTCAGGGAGAGAGGCGCAAATCATTCCAAATCCCACTAAAATTAGATTACAGAAGAAGGAGTGCACCTTGGATAAACCCTTCTCTCTTCGCTTGTTTAACCAACTCAACATATCTAGTTTTAGGTATGTAGATGGAAGACAAGTGGAGGTGGTGGTCTATCATAATTAGATGGAATCAGGCACTCAAATTAAAAGAAAACAACAGGCGTCCGGACATATCCTCAGATATGCTATGGAAGTAGTCAACCTCCATCTCTCTGGTCAAAATGAAACAAAGAAACAAAACACAAGAAAACAAAAATATCACTTTGCATCGTTTGCTAAGTCATTATGTTCGGGCAAAGCCTGGACGGCTAATAAATCAGAGGCTGTTTACGACCTTGCCGGTGCTGATAAGGCAATA